AAAATAGTATGAACAGATGCAAAACTCAAACTGTCAAACAGTTTGAATCTGTCTGAATATAACTGAATATGTCTGGTGCTTGGAACAGTTTTTCAAACTGTTTGAATAATCTATCCATTGCTGGAACAGTTTTTTAAACTGTTGGAACAATTTAATCCGGTATTGGAAGAGGTACATTCTTTGGAAAACAAAATTTCAATTTCAATTTGAAATTCAAATAATTTCCTATAAGAATTTGGAAAAAAATAAAATTTGCCTAAAAAATTAATGTAAGAACAGACCCGACCCACAACCCACACTCGCGCCTGGCTAGGTTTAGCCGGACGGACGGTGGCGGCGGCTCGTGCGCGCGTGTGTGGTGGTTTTAGCCAAGGTTCTATTTATCCATAACTCCTCCCTTCTACAAACTTGGGGTGCCCCTTGGGCCCCAACCCAAGTGTTGTAATCTAGAGTTTATATACATACACAAACTCTCTTAAAGTTTCATTGAGGGACAACCCATTTCAAGGAAAACCCACATTTATTTCTTTAATTGTCCATTCGACAAACTCGAAAACGACGTCAACTTTCCATTCACTCATTAATGGTTATGACGAACCGTCTTCACCGTGTGACTTGCCATGCGGCAAGAAAAACGTCACCTCTTCGGACCCACCCCAAAAAACGTTTGGGGCCCACTCAAAATTGGGTTCAAAGTTGGCTCAAAATAAGCCTATATAAAACCAATTTTCCAACAGGAGCTGTGTGAGAGAGAGAGCATATCATCATCATCATCATCATCAACAACAACAAATAGAATAGAGAGAGAGATAGATCTATACATATCATCATCAACACAGAGAGAGAGAGAGAAAGATAGATCTATACACACACACACAATAGAGAGAGAGAGAGAGAGAGAGAGAGAGAGAGAGAGAGAGAGTTCTATACACACACACACAAAGAGAAAGAGACAAACACAGATTTGTGTATTTGTGTATACACAGATTTATTGATGATAGTGGCGGTGATGGCGGTAATGGCGCCGGTGATGGTCTCCTCTCCGTTCCCTCTTCCTCTCTCTTCTCTCTCTTTCTCCCTCTGTTTCAGAAGTTTTTTGTTTAAAAAAAAAAAACTGCTTAAAACGACGTCGTTTTGGGCAGACGAGCCACTCGGGCCAAACAAATTTCGAGCTACGAAAGATTATTCTTATTTTAGTATTGCTTCCTATAGTCCCCATATATATAATTTCATTATTTTTAATCGTATACACTTTTATTTCAATTTTAATATAAACCCTTTGTCATTATCCCTTAATATTTTAGATAAAAAAGGATACATGCAAAACTAGAGGATGGAACTCGAGTAAAATTATTTAGACCATTAGTGTAATTATTATTATTATTGTTATTTTTCTCGGGTGAGAACTGCTCAAAAGAATGTTTGAATTGCATTTGTCATTTTTATGTCTCAAATATTAATTGATAATTATAAAGCGTCTATTATACAATTCCGTTTCCAAATTGAAGAAGCTTTTGATCATGCGTAAATGTCTTATAAAGTTAATTATATGAACCTTAGGTTTCTTGGATTTTAGTTAAACAATGCACATTCCCTGCATTCTTTAAGCTTGTCGGAATAAACTTTTTGTCTAAATCATTTTCAATCTTAGAGATCAAGAAACTAGTGAAACAAGTGGTGTAATTTTTTTTTTTTTTTGGGGGGGTGAAAACTACTTTATTAAATAAATACTTGAGTTCACATGCCATTTTTTGCCTAAAATATTAATTTATATAATGGTAGAAAGACTAGAGTAAAATAAAAATGGAAGTGCAGTGTTAAAATTAATAAAATTAGAAAGGCAAATTATATAAATCCTTGAGGTTTGGTTAAAGTAAAAATTGTCTCTTGTAGTTTAGAAAATTATAAATATCCCTTTGTTAGAATTTTTTATTTAACAGAATTAGCTAAAAAAATGAAATTCATTATTACTCTCCTATACAATAATAAAATTACATTAATTATTAATTCAAACATATTTATAACTTCATTAAAAACTATTAATTGACTTGATGATTTATTAATAAAAGGGGTGATTTGTAATGAAATTAGAAACCTCAGGGGTGAAATGTAATTTTCAAAATCATAGGGACGATTCGTATTTTAATCAAATCTTAGAGTATATTTGTAATTTATCCAAATTAAAAATTATGAGAATTAAAATAAAATCACGCTAATACTTTACATTTACTTAATTATGGATAGATGAATTACTGTAATATATATATATATATACATAATTGGATCCGATTGGAGTCCAAGGTTTACGTATGTTACTTTATTAATCACGTACTATAATTATAATTCCAAATTAAAGAAGTTTTTTCATCATGTCATCTAAAGAACTTATTATGAACCTTAGGTTTCTTGGATTTTTATCAATTCTCGTTACATCTTTTTTAGCTTGTGGGAACATACTTTTGGTTTGTTTCAATACACCTACACCATTTTCAATCTTAGAGATCGAGAAAAGCATCCACTTACTACAGCAATGTTCAATATGAGAGAGAGAGAGAGAGAGAGAGAGAGAGAGAGAGCAATGGAATACAAATGTGGTGAAAAAGTAGTTGATATGCTAAAATTGCTTGGCAAAACCAATTTATAACTTATTTAGTTTTAAATTAAAATTTTAATACTTAGTTTTTTTTTTTTTGAAAAATTAAGATGTTTGTAAAAAATAAGGTTTAAAAACCAACATTTTTTAAGTTAGGTTTAAGATGTTTATTTAAATAGTCATTTTTAATTTTTTTTTAAGATGCAAATAAGCTTTGCCAAACAAATGCTTATGGGTGAACTTTGGAGTTGAGGGGCGTTCAAAAAAAAAAAAAACTGTGGAGTCGAGGGAGCATCTCCTCTACCGTGGAATATATCTATCTATCTATATCTATATCTATTCTATTATTAAAAGCCAACACCAATTTTGATGTCATGAAGCCTCTACCATGTCCACGTGTAAATTACATGATTTGACCGAAAAAAAAAAAAATTCACATCCCACGTTTTCCAGTTTCTCCCTCTTTCAACTACCCAATACTTGGTTGTTCAAAAAAAACTACCCAATACTCAATTTCCTATCTCTCTCTCTCCCCTTCGGTCATGGGTTCAGCCGCTAGTTATTATAAAGTGAACACAATTTATGATGTCATGAAGCTTTACTCTCCTCATGTCATATGACAGTATTTTTAATTAAACAAAGAGATGGGCAAAACTTGAACCCATGACCATGGGTTTAAGAAAAGGGACTCATACCACTTAAGCTAAGTACACATTATAATATTAATTTCATTATTATTTTTTTTCTATTCTTACTTATTTAAATTGCACACACATCGTGTGTGCCACCCACTAGTACTATTATAAAGTGAACACCTCTTACTCTTAGGGTGTTCTGAAGCTTTACTCTCCTCATGCCATTTGGCAGTATTTTTTATTTTTTTAAAAAAAGTTAAACAAAGAGATGAGCAAGGCTTGAACCCATGACCATGGGTTTAAGTACTAGGACTCATACCACTTAAGCTAAGTACACATTATAATATTAATTTCATTATTATTTTTTTTATTCCTACTTATTTAAATTACACACACATCGTGTGTGCCACCCACCAGTAGTTTTAAAAAGAAACTGGATTTCCTCCGACCTAGATTTGAGGTGGTTGTTTGGGTTTGTAGAATTCATCATGGATATTATTTTAATGATTAAAATAGTTTATTTGTTGGATATTTCGTGTAATTTGTTTAATTTATTATTTTTGTCATAAAAAAAATGCTTGGTTTATTTTTTATAAATACAATTGTCTTATTTTTTTTTAGTGAAAAACACAATAAATTGAACAATTTATAATTATCGGATTGACTTAATTTTTTTGGGATGAAACACCTAATAAAATGAACGGTTCGAATCATCAAAATGAGACTCGTGATAAGCCCCACGAACCCAAACAACCTCCTCGGTCCAAAATCGAGGGAATCCTCCTCCTTTCAGGAATATGTTCTTAGATTTTTTTTTTTTTAAAAATGGATTAAATATAATTAAGAAGGGTTAGGTTTACCTCTGGTCCGTATTTGGGTTAGAGTTTTTGCAATTTTAAATACGTTAGGGTTTTGAATTTGAATCTTGCTAATGATAATTTTAAGGAGAATTTTTAATTCATTGAGTATTTAGAAAAATAATTACAAATAAGTGATAAATTTTATAAATATTAATAATTATATATATTTTTTATTATAAATATGTAATAATTTTATAATATTACCATTGAATTGTAATTCTCCCTAAATTTGTAATAATTTTATAATATTACCATTGAATAGTAAATTCTCCCTAATTTTGAAGGATGCCAATAATAAATTTAAAAAGTCAAAATATCTATAGTCTTTTTTACATAGTCCAAAATGTTTTTATTAATTTTTATACATTTCTTTACGTATTTTATAAGAAAATGTTAGGAATTTCTAATAATCTACCAATATTTTACTAAATTGCGGGACTCTTCACATCCATAAAAAAGATTTAATAAAACATTTAGTAGATTATTTAAAATGCCTAACATTACACATTTTTATAGGTTAAAAACCATCTCAATGATTTTTTTGATCGGAAAACCATCTCAATGATTGTTTTTAACATTTTTATTTCAATTTATACTGTAGGACCCATTCATTTATATATAGACAAGATTAGCTTATTTTTTGGTATCCCCCACCCACTTCGCTCCCTCCCTCCCTCCCAGTGTCCTGGACATGATGGCTTTTGTTTTGATTGTAATTGATTTCTAGTACTCGGTATCCATAACAACCACACCTTTTGTTCAATCGCTTCTCTCTCTCTCTCTCTCTCTCTCTCTCTCTCTCTCTCTAGTCTTTCATTTTCCTGGGGCAAATTCTATATCTATATCTTCTCTGTCTTTCTTGGTTGTTGCCATCACATCATTCTTTTCATTGATCTTGAACTCGATTAGAATATGTCGACTCGTAAAAAACTAATCGACCTTTTCTCAATTCTGCATAATCACGTATCCAAAATCGCCTCACATCCCAACCGCCAAATAACCGAAGACAATGCTAAAAACCCTCGTCTTAGTTCACTCCATGCCATCAAAACCATGCTTGAACAGATTAAAGATGTCTTGATTCCTTGTTTGAATGATGAAGACCTCTGGAAAAAACTCAATGAATTGGAAGCCTACATCTCTGAGCAAGATTTCATCTTTGATCCTCAGCCTGAGGACAAGAATGACATCATCCCTGAGAAGATCAAGCAAATCAATGAAAATCTTCAAGAAATCAAGGAGTTGATGGACATGAAGTCTTTGAAAACACAAGAGAAAGGTTCATCAGAGTCTGAAGCTCCAAAAGCGTCAAGGGACTGGTTACATTGGAGAGTTGAGAAGATCATTCTTGAATCCTCTGCCATGGCTAATCTTTAGTTGAGTTATGATGCCCTTGATATTCAGCTCAAGGTCTGTTTGTTCTGTTTGGCAATTTTTCCTGAGAAAGCTGTTGTGAAGAAAAAACAATTGATCTATTGGTGGATTGGGGAGGGTCTGATCAGCAAATCTAAGGATAAGTCTGCAGAGGAGGTAGGAGAAGGAGTCTTTATGAAGCTTCTTGAGAAGGGATTGATACAACCATACTACACAGATGAAAATCATAAAAACCAAAACCCCGTAGTTCATTGTTGTACAATTCATCCTTGGATTCGTTGTATGTTGATTTCAGCGGCCAGAAGAGCTGAGTTCTTTGATTTTGATGATACCGGTAAGTCTAAGATTAATGTGGATAATGAATCTAAATCTCGTGATAATAATGACTCTAAATCTCGTGATAATAATGACTCTAAATCTTGCCGCGCTTGCTTAGTTTTGGGTAGTGGTAGTCTTAAAGAAGAGGAGGAGCTGTTCACAATATTCAATGTAAATAAGGATTACTTAATTTTTAAAACTGGTCTGTTTTCAAAATTTAAGAAGCTTGTGATTCTTCAACTGGGTAGGTGGCAGACCTCAGCTCAACAAGCTATTGAGGTAGAAAATGGTGACTTCTTGAATGATTTGGGGGCAAAGAAGCACTTGAGGTACCTTAGTGTTCAAGGGATTTCAAGAATTACAACATTACCTTCATTTGCTAAGTGCGTAAATCTTGAAATTCTTGACCTCAGGGCTTGTCACAATTTAGAAAGTTTGCCTTCTGATATAGGATCATTGAGGAAGCTCACTCACTTGGATGTATCCCAGTGTTTCTTGCTCGAAGGCATGCCAAAAGGGATTGAAAAGCTCTCCTCACTCCAAGTGCTTAAGGGTTTTGTTATAGGACATACGAAGAAAAATCGTAGCAAGTTGGGTGATCCAGTTCAGTTGAAGAAACTGAGAAAACTGAGTATACGAATAGGGAGTAATGCTGTTATCGTGCAAAAGGAACTCAACAAATTTAAGGAAATCACAACTCTTCGTGTCCTAACTATTTCGTGGGGAAAAGTGGCTTCAGCATCCAAAAATGGTGGGCAAGGCACGAAGATGGATTCAAATGTTGGAGGAGCATCATCATCAGAGGAAAAAGAAGGTTTAAAATTGAACGATACTGCTACCTTGACAATGAAGTTTTTCTCATTTCCACCAAAGTTGGAGAAACTGGATATCAGGTGCCTCCCTCAAAAAACTTCCCCAGAGTGGTTAAAACCTAGCAACTTGGAAGAGTTGAAGAGGTTGTACATTAGGGGAGGGAAGCTTGATGCTTTGCATCCAGAGGAAAATAAGAAGTGGAAAGTGAAGATTTTAAGGTTGAAATATCTGAAGAACTTGAAGATAGAGGCAGAATTTCTGCAGCAAAATTTTCCTAATCTAGTTTACTTTGAGAAGTTCAATGAGATTGCTCACCCGACAAGTGAATTCCATCATGAAAAGAATGTCAAGTGAATTAATAATGATGAGGCATGGGAAGCACTCTACGAGAAGCTCAAATGAACTTCTACATTAGAAGAGAAAAAGCTAGATGTGAATGAGATTGTGCTTGAAGAGAAACGCCAAATAAAGACTTGAAAGTTTACACAATGGCCTTGGCAAAGGTGGCTTCAGTGTCCGACTGTCACACTGCTTTCGCACCAATTTCTTCGTTGACATTATCAGTGCTTTCCTAGTTTCTTTGTGTTTTTCATTTGTTTTTTCTAGTTTCGATCTGTATTGAAGCAAATTGTTGGCTTTTTGGCTTTCGAAGGTTATTTTTGTAATTATGAGCGTGCCAGCAAGGATCAATCAGTCCTTACAGAATTTTTATTGCCAACCAATTATCAGACGATTGTATTGTAGTTCTTTTAGCCTCAATGAAGAGGACTTTTACTGGTGGCTTGATTTAGGAGAATTTAAGCACAAGAACAATTAAATAAAGAGCAATTGAAGCATTTCATTAGTATGAAAAACTTACAATGATCCAAACTCAGCCTCGTAGAGGTTTACAACGACAATCTACTTGAAACTATTCCTATGAATGAAGTGCAGTGCAGGAATTTAAAGTACAGGAATGTAAAGAACAAGAAATATAAAAACTGGAACGAAATATGTAAAGTAAGACTGGTTTCTTGGATCTGAGTCTGGGGGCTTTTTTCGGGGCCTTCCCTGCTATTTATACTCCTCAAAGATGACCATCAAATTGCACTTCAAACCGTCGAACTGCTCCTCTGTGGTCGCTGATTATGCTGCCTTATAAGTAGTTCCACTACGCCATCACTTGCAGTTAGGCTTCCCTCCTATATTTGAATTTGAATGTGAGTAACTGTTGAAGCCACGTCACCTTGCATCTCTTTGTTGATCCACTGCTACTCAGATCTCATAACAGCCAATATTAACTGCCACGTGTACGATCAGGATCGAAGACTTGAATGGTCTCCCCATATTACCCTTACTTTGCCACGCGTTGAATTGTAACTGGCTTGCACAAAATTTGTAGCCAACATTACCCCCCGCACTAATATACCCAAGACTTGGTGATATTAGTGGATCAGGGTCTTTTTCCCACGTCTCAGAACGTGCATGGGTTTTTCATCTTCCCAAAAATGCAACTGTCACTCAGCATCTGTATTAAACTCTCATTTTAATCTTTTGAATACTTCCACCGTCCTAGCATTCGAACAGACTGATACATTTCATGGCCGAATTACCTTTTTCCTCCAGCGATCGAGCACACGAAGAGTCATATGTCAATGATGTTCCTCCTCGAAAGAACGTCCATGCATTTATTAGCCACTTTTACCCACCTTTCTATATTCAGGTCATGGATGCCTTTGCAAATTATCAACCCTTGGACTTCGAACATATTGCCCTTAATCCTTCGATCTAGAAACTCACAAATATGGACATGGGAGGTTTTTCCTCTGTCTCACCCTTGGACTACGAACAAATTGCTCTCAATCTTTTAATTCAGAAAGTTGCAAATATGGACATGGGAAATTCTTCTTCACAATCCTCTACATGGGGCAAAGTTGCAACTTCTTCCTCTTCTGGGGTTTCTGACTAGACAAGCTGGTTAACACCTGAGACCTGTGATTTGAGGGAGCGAATCAACCATCATTTTGTTGAGTTCACTGACCCTTTAGAGTTTCCTTCCTATGCTCGAAGTTCAGTGGTTTACCCCTACATGCCCATTGACCATCGACGTAGTCTGGAGGAGAATCTGCTTGTAACATGGTATACATCCTCCATGCCTACAAAGATAGTGCATGCTGCCCGATGCCTAGAAGAAGCACAAGGGTACAACCCATCATTCTTAGCCCAGAAGGCGAAGATTTGTTCTTCTGACTGGCTCGATTATATTAATGCCTTTGTTCCTTCTGCTCCCGCGCTATCTCCCATATATAGAAGCATCCATACCTTCTTCTTCATCTCCTGAAATTGAAGCATTCACACATTCTCCTCTACCAACTCTTTGCTGGACAGAGAGAACTGAAGTTGCCCTTTCCATGGATAACGTCTTTCCACCTTACAAACCTCTACCTTCCTTACTCCAGCTGAGCAGAAACAAGCTCAACTTCTGCTTGCAGCTTTCTCTCACTTGCCCTTCAACTGTTTCTTAGGAGGAAGTCCCTCTCAAGAACCTTTGATGTGCCTTGTGATATTCTGACTAGGGGCCATGTCCTTAATCCCCTTGCCCAAGCAGAACTTCATATGTTCCTGGACCAACTTCCATTGCTCCTCTACTGGCATCGAAATTCTATGGCCACTACACAATCTTTAGACCAACTTTCGTCTCTTCGAGTTCATGCCCAGTACGAAGCAGAGAACTTCATTGAAGAATTCGGTGATTTCAAGAATAAAGATTCTGCGTATTGGGATGACTTGGACATAGACGAATTGGAACAAGGATTGAGAGAGACGGCTTTCGAAATAAAGGCTGAAGAGCTCTACTATGAAGTGAGAGCACATCAACTCATGCAGCCAATGTTAGAAGACATATAAGATAGAATAAAGAAAGAACAAAAATTCATTGATCATTGTTGAATTAAATTTCATGATCTTGTTATTTATTCCATTCCTTATTTTTATGAGCTTGAGTTTGTACCCAAATAGGGCCATTCGATGTAACTGCTTTTGCTTTACTACAAGACTTCTCTCTGTTTGATATGGTTTGATCTTGTCTCTATTTATCTTTGAAAGCAATTACAAAGCTTCGAACTGAACAATCTTTTCTTTCAAACCTGGATTTGATCGTTTAAAATGAATACTAACAACACGACCATGAACTTTTCCAATTTAGGGAATGCAGATTAATCAGTTCTAAATTGATCTTTTTGTTTTGAACAACAGTCCATATTTTCAAAAATATGGAAGCTCCTTTTGAGGGCTGCACTGTTTTAGTTCAAAAAATCAACTTTTCTGAATATATATACAAACCAACGATGGGTTTCGATGTTCGCTTCCCAAGGAATTTCTAACTTTACTTCGAAGAACATCACTGTCATTGAGAAACCTAAAACAGGTCTTTAGTCCTTTTGAAGTAAACGAATACTTGAGCATTCTTGTATCCATTGAGTATGGAATGCGCTTCGAAGCCGGCTCTTAGTTTCGAAGCCGTTGTTATTGGTCTTTTGGCGCCGAAATCTGGTGTGTTATGTTTTGAACACCAATTTCCATCCTCACGGAGTCACAAGTTTCACTTCGAAGGTCATTGTTTTCATTAAGAAGCCCAAAACAGGTCTTTAATCCCCTTCTAAGTGAATGAATATCTAAGTATTCTTACATTCTTAAGCATGGAATGTGCTTCGAAGCAGGCTTCTTAGTTTCAAAGCCGTTGTTATTTGACTTTTGGCGCCAAAATCTGGCTTCGAAGCCAAATATTCTACTTCGAAGCTGGTATCAACATCTGGGATATGTTTTTCCCTCCAAGAGTATCAATATTGAAGGAAATTCTTCGTATTCATACTTTTAGTACTTAACGAATTTACGGTATGTATCTTTCAGATATAAAGGCTTTTAAAATCCTTTTATTCCACATTCTGAAATCACTTGCTCGCTCAACATACAAAACCCTTCACCTCTATTCGTCTCCCACTTCTTTCTACTTCTTTTTCCAGCTTCGTCCTTTGAGAAAGCGTTTTATCAATGGCTTTCTCTTCGTTGAAAGTGCCAGTTATAGAGCGTGCGAGCCCATCTGTAGCCCTAAAAAGGCTCATTGATGCAGAATGTGAAAAGTACAAAGCTGGGGAGAAAAGTGCCATTGACGGACGCATCTTCATTCCTCATCGTCATGTGCAACAAGACTATGTGCTTGGTCCCATATTCAAGGAGATTCCTATTGAGCTTCCAGCTCTATACCCTTGTCTAGAAGACCATTGTCTCCTTTACGAAGGTGGCCTTGACTGGAGTAACTGGAAAACGAATCGCCCCCACCGATGCTGGCCCACGGTGAGACCGGAGTGGCAAGAATGGTATGATCGAGTTGTCCCTAGTAGGACCCTGGACCTTCAAGAACTCAGCCTCCTCGACGCCCTTCGGTTATCCAGGTTAACCATTTCAGAGGACCCCTTTTTAGTTCCTGCTGCTCTGTGCTATTGGAATTCTGTTTTTAATTTCTTCCAATTCAGATGTGGGATAATGGCCCCTACTGTGCTTGACATTTGCCATCTTTTAGGATTATCTCCCATTGGAACTCCCATTGGACCAGATTATCCTAACCTAGCAGTCCCTTTTTCCCTTCCCTCTCTTAACTCATCCTATAGTGACTTTGTCAAGGCTGAGAATAGAAGGGTGGGTCTTGTGACCGATAGGGAATTCTTTTCTTTTTTACTATATTGGCTTTGCAAGTTCTTTTTCTGCACCTCTTCTCAAAGAATTATGCCTGAATTTGCCCTTCTTGCCAAAGCCCTTGTTTTACAGAAGAGGGTGGCTTTAGCCCCATACGTTCTAGGTCACGTATACAGAGCCTGCTCTCTTTTTTGTGAGAAACCCTTGGATGTCAATCAAGGGGGACCGATTTGGATTCTTCAGCTTTGGCTTTTTGCTTATTTCCCCGAGTTACAATCCGAATCCCTTAAATTTTTTGAACCAGACCCTCCTACTCATGGCATGAGACTAGCCAGTGCTTCTCTTTATCCTTCTACTTTTGCTTTTTACTTCTCTTTCTTCCACCAACTTTCAGTTTCTCGTCTTTCCCACTGCTTTCGTCTCTTCGAACCCACTACTATCGGCCCACTTTGGTTGAAGAATTTCCTAAGTGATAGGCTCTGTTCTTCACCTGTTCACAAGGATATATGGGCCTCAATTTTAATTCCCAGAGAATTATTCATCGGGATCCCCGAGTTACAATCCAAATGCCTTAAATTTTTTGAACCAGACCCTCCTACTCATGGCATGAGACTAGCCAGTGCTTCTCTTTATCCTTCTACTTTTGTTTTTTACTTCTCTTTCTTCCACCAACTTTCAGCTTC